GTCAAAGGCTTTCAACCAGTTGCTTGGACACCGGAGGGCGATGCTGCTTTCGTCGCTTGCAAGGAGGAGTTGCGAAAAGCGACCTTGCTGGTATACCCGGATACAACGCTTCCGTGGGCGATCTTTACCGATGCTTCAGAGAACGCCATCGGAGCCGTCCTCCAGCAACGACGAGGACAAAGCTGGGAGCCGCTGGCCTTCTTTAGCCAGAAGCTTAAACCCGCACTAAGAAAACACTGCCCGTACGATCGTGAACTCCATACTATATATGCTGCTTTGCGAAAATTTCGTTATATATTCGAAGCACGGCACGTGACGATCTTCACAGATCATAAGCCTTTACTTCACGCTTTCGCCCAGGACCCCGATAGAGCGACACCATGGCAATTCCATCGACTGGATTTTATCGGCCAGTTTTCGACTGATATGCAGCACGTATCTGGCAAAGATAACGTCGTCGCAGATGCTCTTTCTAGCATTGAGGAGATCTCCGCAGCAGTCTCTGTGAATGAGCTTGCCGAAGCTCAAGCTGGCGACGAGGAGCTACAGCAACGTATACAGGAGCAACAACACGATTCCCTAACCCTACGTTCCGTAAATATTCCAGGTTGTGACGAGCTAATATATTGTGACATATCCGGCAATCTGATTCGCCCTTTTGTACCAGCACTACTGAGAAAAAGAATTTTGGACGCCCTACATAGCATTAGTCACCCCGGAGCACGAGCATCTATAAAGCTGGTGACGCAACGCTACGTCTGGCCCAATATCAAGCGAGACTGTCGCCTGTGGGCCCGAACATGCATAGTCTGCCAACGAAACTAGGTAACTCGTCATGTCTCATCCCCCATTCAAAATTTTCCAGGACGAACGAGGCGATTTGAGCATATCCACGTGGACATCATCGGGCCATATGTCCCGTCCAAAGGATATCGTAACTGCCTTACGATCATTGACCGCTTCACCAGGTTTCCAGAGGCGTTCCCCATCGAGAACACTGGAGCCGAATGTGTCGCCCGTACTCTTTTTTCTGGATGGATATGCCGCTATGGAGTGCCGCTCCGAATTACGACCGACCAGGGGACACAGTTCGAGAGTCAGCTCTTTAACGCTCTCGCTCGCCTTCTTGGCAGCAAACACATACATACCACCACATTCCATCCACAGTCGAATGGAACGGTGGAACGCCTACACCGTCACCTGAAAGAAGCAATTCGCTGTCATGAAAACAACTCGTGGGTGGAAATGCTACCTATTGTGCTTCTAGGAATTCCCGCCGCCTGGAAGGAAAACCTTGGCGCGACTCCTGCTGATCTCGTTTATGGAGAGCCGCTTCGCCTACCGGGGGAATTCCTCGCTCCTTCACCGCGACGAGGGTTACCACCTTCCAATATCGCAGAACGCCTTAGAAATCACTTCGCCGATCTCGCTCCTCAACCCGTCGCCCGACATGGCCAGAGGAAGACGTTCATCTTTAAGGAGTTAGCTAGCTGCTCACACGTTTTCGTTCGCCGCGACGCCCCGCGTCACGCCTTCACTTCGCCATATGAGGGACCTCACCGAGTTATATCAAGGCATGAGAAGCATTTTGTTGTAGAGATCAGAGGCGAAAACACGGTGATTTCTATCGTGCTCCCAGACAGCGGGGATGAAGATAGCGCCGAGAACGACAGCGACGCAGAAGACAGCAATGCCACGCTTACTTCGCCATCTTCACCTGCGACCCCTCAACCTGGAACATCTCGACTTTCCTCATCGTATCACCCATCTAACTCTGTTTCTAGCTCATCTACGCCATCGACACAAAAGCGTGTCAGATTTCGCTGAGTTACATCAACTGTTTTCAAAAAGCACTATTATTAATTTCCTTTTCGCAGAAGGGGAGTACTTATGGCGAAAGCCACAATAAATAATTATTTCAAACGTGCGGTAGCACGAACAATATGGCAACACAAACCGATTGAGTCAGCTGACCCATGCGTACAAGCAGCGCTGAAACGAATGTGAAAAGAAAAGGTAATGCCGAGTACATAGGAAAATAACAGGAACTTGTTTTGGCAGGCGATTGATATAAAAAGGCTGATCCTAACTGATGTAAAGCCTCTTTTTACGTTATTCGCAGCTACGGACTGTAAATTAAATAAAATCCAGTTTTGTTCTACAAACCGCGCCTTTCTTTTCTTTTGGTTGAATGCACTAAATCACCACAAAAAAATTTGTAACAGCAATTTTTTGATGCAGCTTACTTCTGTTTGACACGTAGATCATGGATCCACAGTCTTGCCCCTAAATTTAATTTGGCAACATTCCGTCATCTTGGATGTAAGTTTTTTTTTTTGTTTTTGCGATTTGCAGGCTTATTTTGCATTTTTCGTAAAAAATTGTTAAATACAAACATGTAGAGAATTTCATTTGCCACATTTGTTATATACAAGATTTTCTAAAAATAGCATTTTTTATTGTAAAAAATTTGCAAAAACTGTGAAAAAAAATTTACATTGTCACGGTTTTCACCATTTTTTGACAATTTCTGTTGACAATACACAGCATATTGAAATTCCACAGATGTAGAGAATTTAATTCTCCACAAATTTTGTACCAACATTTTTTTTTGTACGGTGCTTAGATCACGGCCGAGAACGTGCCAAACATAGCGATTAGTCCACTAAAAATAGATAAATTTGGTAGGAAAAAAAAAACAAAAAAAATTGTAACGGCGATTTTTCGATGCAGTTTACTTCTATTTTACACGTAGATCATGGATCCACAGTCTTGCCCCTAAATTTCATTTGGCAACATTCCGCCATCTTAGATTTAATTTTTGTTTTTGTTTTTTGGGATTTGCATTTAATTTCCCACATTTATTATATAGATGGGTTTTTAAAAATAGCAGTTTTTATTGTAAAAAATTAGCAAAAACTGCGAAAAAATTTTATATTGTCACGGTTTTCGCCATTTTTTTACAATTTCTGTTGAAAATACATAGCATATTGGAATTCCAAAGATGTAGAGAATTTCATTCTCCACAACTCTTGTACCCACATTTGTTTTGTACGACGCTTAGATCACGGCGGGAACGCGATAAACATAGCGATTGTACGGGATGCGCCGTAAAACTTATTTCTACACCTTCACCTGCTTTCATTAAAAAGCAAAAAACAATGCCCGTGGATTACGCCAACTGGGGACACCACGATAAATAAAAACGCGCCGAAAAACTCTATTTCAGCGGTAGTGTGGAAATAAGTTTTACGGCGCATCCCGTACATCGCTATGTTTATCGTGTTCCCGGCTGTGATCTAAGCGTCGTAGAAAACAAATGTAGGTACAAAAGTTGTGGAGAATGGAATTTCAATATGCTATGCATTTTCAACAGAAATTGTCAAAAAATGGCGAAAACCGTGACAATGTAAAATTTTTTCGCAGTTTTTGCTAATTTCTTACAATAAAAAATGCTGTTTTTAAAAAACCTTCTATGTAACAAATGTGGGAAGTTAAATTCTCTATATATATGTATTAAACAATTTTTTACGAAAAATGCAAAATAAGCCTGCAAATCGCAAAAAAAAACAAAAAATTAATTAAATCTTAAGATGGCGGAATGTGGCCAAATGAAATTTAGGGGTAAGACTGTGGATCCATGATCTACGTGTCAAATAGAAGTAAAATGCATCAAGAAATCGCGGTTACAAATTTTTTGTATTTTTTCCTACCAAATTTACCTAATTTTACTGGGCTAATCGCTATGTTTGGCACGTTCTCGACCGTGATCTAAGAGCCGTACAAAAAAAAATTAGGTGTAAAGGTATTGAAGAATGAAGTTCTCTACAACTTTGGAATTTCAATATGCTATGTATTTTCAACAGAAATTGTCAAAAAATGGCGAAAACCGTGACAATGTAAAATTTTTTCACAGTTTTTGCTAATTTTTACTATAAAAAATGCTACTTTTATAAAACCTTTTATATAGCAAATGTGGGAAATTAAATTCTCTACATATTTGTATTTAATAATTTTTTACGAAAAATGCAAAATAATCTTAAAAATCGCAAAAAACCCAAAAGAAACTTAAATCCAAGATGGCGGAATGTTGCCAAGTGAAATTTAGGGGCAAGACTGTGGATCCATGATCTGCGTGTCAAATAGAAGTAAACTGCATCAAAAAATCGCTGTTACAAAGTTTTTTCAAATTTCCTACCAAATTTATTTAATTTTACTGGGCTATGTTGGACCAGCGCGAGCAAAATGGCATACATACATGCTGTCAGTTCACTGTCTCTGTTTGTTTTCACCACACATTTTTGGTGAAATTTTTGTGACTCTCTGGCTGTGTTTCATGGTATACTTAATGTGACCAACCGTACTTCTTTCGGAAGTACAGTACTTCTTTTTGCGCCGTTGTACTTCGTACTTCGAAGTTCAGTCAAATGTACTTCATTGCAATGTTTTGCACTACCCAAGGCACATTGAACAGGTAGTATCAGTAGNGTGACTCTCTGGCTGTGTTTCATGGTATACTTAATGTGACCAACCGTACTTCTTTCGGAAGTACAGTACTTCTTTTTGCGCCGTTGTACTTCGTACTTCGAAGTTCAGTCAAATGTACTTCATTGCAATGTTTTGCACTACCCAAGGCACATTGAACAGGTAGTATCAGTAGAGCAGCTGATTTATTTTTTATTTTTTCAAATTATTCGGTTGCTAAAATGTCAAAAAATATAAATTGTAAAAATCTTTTTGCATGGGAAACCTTTTCCCCGTACAAAACACGCTATTGAAAAGCGAAGTTTGGAACGTTCACCTAACTCCGCAGTTCAAACGCTAATTACTGGGCCTTGCATATGATGGATAAATGCTTCGAGAAGCAAACAAAATTTACTAACAGGCATGCTCTGGATTTTGAATTCGAGTAAAAAAATATCGAATTCCATTTGAATTCACATTTGCGTGCTCCACATTTATCGGAGTAGTTTTTCAATTGTAATCGTTTTCGAAATGATATCGAACAATATTGCCTGCTCTATAAATCGAATGCACTTTCAGTTGGCCGTGCTAAATTAAATTCAAGAGACAAAAAAAGTAAGTCGTATAATTATTTTGTTTAAATTTTTAAAGAAAACTAACAAAAGATTTTAAATTTTTATGTAAAGCAACCCCGATATGGCCAAAGGCTTCATAAAAGGCGATAAGGCGAAGAGTGACATGCAATGGAGAGAGCTAGTAGACGAACTGAACAGTAAAGTTCTGAACACATTGAAAACGACGAGCTACGGACCACAGCTTCCAATTTGTCATCTTCATTATCTAAACGCTTTGTCGATGGCGACATGATTTCTTTGAACGCGGCAGCGACATCATGAATTTGTATGAGTTTGACATAAAAGAAGAGGAAGAACCTTATCTGTCGCCAGAAAAATAGAAATAGATCTAATCTGGCCACAACCACAGCCGTCGCGTAGCCCGGTCGTCGCCAAAATAATTATCTACATAAGAGTACGTGTTAAAATAATTTGACAGCTGTGGTTTGTAGCTCGTCGTTTTCATTGTGTTCGGGCTATAATGTACCGCCTACAAAAGACGTCGTCGGTTGGAAAAAGGTAAGCCACCAAAGAAAAATTGCTATGACCGTTTATTTATTTGTACAAAACATGTATCTAGGTTTGGATAGACTGGAAAGCTACGGTCCGCAAAAAAATCGCACACAGCAACTCTGAAGCCAGAGCTACGGGTGGTGGACCCTACAATAAATATGTGCTTACCTCTACTGAAGAGAAAATTGGCCAAATTTGCGGAATCTTTAAAGTTGTCGAAGGTATAGAGAATACGCGGGAGTTTGCGCAACAGGAAAATTAGGAAGAGTCAAGCAATGAGGAGAATGAGAGATCGAGAGTTCTCACTACCCCTGCTCCCATTCCTAATGTAGCCAGCACACCGAAACGTCGCCGGGAGCAATGAGTGCATTAAAAAATACATGTGTGAAAAAAGCAACGCGATGGCATTGATGGCGGAAGGCCTAACAAAATTTCAGAAGACAAAGAGAATGTGCGCGCAATAAAAGATATAAAATATGAACTCAAAGAGTTGAATCGCAAATTTAAAAAATTTAACGAGAATGTAGTTGGTAGTGTCGAAGAGAAGAAAAGACACCACCTCAAAATAGAGAAAATTCGAAGGGGAGAACTTGAAATAAAGCGCAGGAAACTGGAGCTGCAGGAGATAGAAATTAACATACTTTCAGAAAAGAAAAAAGCTGAAATGTGATGGTTTGTATTGCGCAAATAGAATTTCTGATGAGACTACTAAACCTGAAGTGGAAAATACTATGTTCTGTATTCTCTTTTTACAACGCTTTTATCAACTTGCAATGTTGTGTGTCCAGAAACTTTCAATGTTGTGGATCCAGAAACTTTCAATGTTGTGTGTCCGACACCATAAAACCTTTGCTTTGAAAAGTTCCTATAAAAAAGCATAGTGCATAGGGCGACATCTGTAGTGAATAGGGCGAGGTAGATGACATCTAGATGTCGCCCTATGTACTACG